CTCCGTTTTCCCATAGGTCGTTGAACCATTCGGACGATGAAAGGTTGAACGAAGGGTTACTAATAGCGCTAGGATTTTGATTTTGGTTATGGGTCAAATCGTTCGTGTTGTTGTTCGACAGGTCAAAGGGGCTAGAGCCGGGATAGTGGTGATCTGTGTGTCGTAATTGTGAATGGAGAGACAGCGGTGAACTTTGGCGTTGTACTTGGTGAGACTGCGAATGTGAATGTAATGACTGAGGAATGTACGACGACGTCGGGGAAGATCCAGGTCCAGCGAAAGCATTATTGCCACCGTTCTGCTTTCGATTCCAATTCGTAATAGGACTAGCGCTACTCCCTGTCATATGTGAAGGACTCGAAACAGAAGCCGAAGCCGGTGAAAACGCAGGCGCCAAAGTAGCATTACGATCAGGTGCAGCGGCATAGGACGTAGCTGACGATTCGTTTGTCGGCGGTCCTTCATTTTGAGATCGGGACAAACTATGCTGTTGCACACTCAAGCTGGACCTTCTCTGCCGCTGTTGTCCCTCCTCTCCGTCTCTATACCCTCCTTCCTCTCTCTTCCTCTTCCCTCCACCAAACACTGTCTGTCCCATCATTCCCATCGCATACCCCCCCGGCTTCATACCTTCCCCCTCCATCAACCTGTCCAACGTCTTCCAGCACCTCCTCGCTAGCTCCCAAGTTCCTCCCATCGCTTTCAGCGCCTCGAGGCAATTTAGGAGGTGCAGCTGAGTTTGAAGTGTTAAAGCAGGAGAGGGTGGAGAGGGTGGTGGACCATTGAGCGCTGAGTTTGAGCTTTGGTTCGGTAAAGTAGAGTGGAGATAAGGTGACCCACGGCCCATCGACTTCTCCCTCCTCGCGTGCTCTTCTCGCTCTCTCGAATGTAGACACTCTTGATACTGTCTATATCTCTGTACTTTGATTCTATATCCCGAAAGATGAGCAATGGCTACTGTGAAAACCAAATAAATCATATTCGGGTTCGAGAGTGATATCGTCGGAACAGAAGATGACATCGAAGACGACGAGGAAGAATCAGGTAGGTGTTGTTGATGCGCTGAACTGAAATACACATTCTTGTACTTTTCCAACAACACATTAAACGTTGATGCAGCATCCATATAGACATCGGAAGCGTGGGTGATCGAAGAATCTTTGACGCTGCAGAAAAGATTAAGGAATCCAAACCAGCCGAATGAATAGAGGAAAAAGCGACTCACAAAGGTCTATACAACAAGATCACCGCAACATGATACCACATGTTGACCTCCAACACTTCTCTCCTCTCCACCTCCCTCATACCTCCTGGCCCGTCTACCCCTCCGTTCCCCCAGTTACCAATACCCAGACCCGAACCTCCACCATAATAAGCTCCAGTTCCACCAAAACCTCCCAGCCCAACACCCAAACTGACTCGAAACCTCATCGGTAACGATTGATGCCATAAATCGAGTTCGGTTCTCAACAAAGCGAGTTTTTCGTGTGGAGGGAGAGGAGAAGGAGGGGAGACTGACGTCGTAGACGAGGTGATAGTTGGTGGGGACGTTGAAGTTGAAGTGCTTACCGAGGTGACCGAAGAAGTTGGTGTAGCGTCGGAGTTGTTCGTTATAGGGGAAGCCGGTTGAGTTACAATTGGTGAAGTAGCACTAGGATCGCTAGTACCAGGAGAAGACGATGGCTTTACAATCGCCCTCGTCTCCGTAATAGTTCTTGTCTCCTTCACTGTAACCGTCTCATTCACAACCTCCCTCTCCTTCTCTCTTTGCACCATCGGCCCATATCCTAGATATAAATACATATTTATCCTCGAAATAATCTGCGCCAAACTAAACGTGTGTGATGTCAGACCCAAAGGTCCTGTCCCTTGTCCAACGAAGGCTTTGGAAGCGGCTCCAGATGTCGACGCGGAGTTAGACGAGTCTTCGCGACCTTGGGAAGAGATAGGAATAGAAAGAGATCCAGGTTTCAAACACTCCACACACCCAGGAGACCTGCCCAGCTGAAGGGAGAGCACGAGGTCCATAAGAACGGTTACGCCCCAGATATTGGAGTGTAGGATTCGGGTTTCTCGGTCTTGGTCTCGGTCTCCTCGATGTTGGTTTTGGGTTGGAGCAAGAGATGAAGTTGTTGAGTTGGTTTGATGAGCGTCGGTGTTGGTGTTGAGAGTTGAAGAAGTGTTGGTTGTGGTCGTAGTCATAGTCACATCTAGAATCAAGGAAGAAGCGGAATGACCATGAGCGGAAGAAGCTGCGTGATGCTGATGGGTATTAGCCTCGGAACCAGCAGTAGTAGCAGTAGGTGTAGTCTCGGGAGACGTAGACATTGCCTCTGTCTTCGTCTTAGCTACCTCAGCCTCAGTCGTTATCAAATAACTTCTCGTACCCAACATGTCCAACTCCAACTCCTGCCCCATCCTAACCGCCATCCCTACGAGCCCCCACGCCTGGGACTCATTCCCCTTTCCATAATCTCTCATACCCAACAAGAGACATATCTGGATCGGTTCAACACCTGCATTGGATTTAGAGGGACCTTCTCCACTTCCCGATAGTTTCGGCTGCGACTGCGACTGTGACCAACTTGAAGAAAAAGACCTCCAACCACTCCTCTTCCTAACCAACCGATTCAGCCCCGTCCTGGCTTGCTCGTACCACAAGTCTGACGCTATTCGGGAGGCAGAGGATGTTAGGAGAGTTTCCATATTCATGTTACCAGGCATGGTGTTGGCGTTGCTTCGCGAGTTTGAGCTGAGATGGGGCAAGTTATTGGTGCCGTCAGACCTGCCTATACCAACACCAAGGGTGCCTAAGATACCTGATAGCCCAGTGTTACCGCCGTTACTAGAGGAAGAAGAGGCAGACGAAGTAGCACCCTGGAAAACAGTCCCAGGACTCAGTCTTCCCGTATACGCACACAGAGCGAGTAGGAGAATCGTCGTTGGTTCGTCTAGACCCATACTCGTGCCCTGTGCCCTTCCTTTGTCCTTGTGACTACTTTTGTCAGTAGCAGAAGTAGAGTAGGTAGAAGATGCTAGAACGCCATCAACCCACGTTCTCTCTGGCATAACAGGAAAGGTAGGGTGAACATGTGTATAGTAGACGTCTAGGAGAGCGGAGAGAATATGTAAAGGTGGGAGTTCGTACTCGTGCAAGTTGGGATCTGCGTTTGGGTTGGCATTTGGGATTGAGTGAGAGTGGGGCAAGGAGTCAGGCATGGGCATGTCACTGGGCAAGGTAGAGGACGATGAGGATGTGGTGTTTCGGTAAGTTAGTGCCGGATTTAACGAGAACAAACCCGTTGACGAAGCATTGGCATTGTGTTGAGGAGACGTGGTCGGTGGTACGGCATGAAACAACTTTGGGGTTGGAATTGGGGTCGACGATGAGGAAGGGAGAGGGAACGCAGTGTGTGTATGTGCATTTGTGTAGGAATGTGAATGAATATCATGTTCTTTGCCTTTATCCTTGTCCTTGTCTTTACTCGGTGAAGTCGCTCCAGTCCCAGTAAAATCACCAAATCCGAACGCATGCCCTCCAAATCCTGTAAATGACCCATACCCATCTACTGCAAGTGGAATTTCTGACTCGATTTCTTCCAACGCAAGATCTGCAGTTCGCCAATAGCTCCCGGTGTAGATGTCAATGTCGTTGAAGGAAGGTACGGAAGAAGTGAGCGAGTCCATAGCTACGAGGTCCATTGGCGCTGGCGCTGGTGCCGGGTCAACTTGTGAAGGTTGAGGCGTAGGGTCAGGCTCGGCATGAGGAGTGTCGTCCACGTCCATGTCATTCGGCGAAGGAATGGGAGAGTCGGGTTCCGGTTCCGGTTCATGTACACGCCGTCTTTCATCAGACTGTGGATACGCAAAGCTATTCCTCTCGAATGACTCTGCATGGTATGAAGGACCCGGCGCTGGCGCAACAGACATCGCCTTGATTTGTCTCGCCTGGGTTTGCGTCTGTTGCTGCTGTTTTGGCGGCGGTAACAGAGGTTTTGCAAAGCTATCTCCTTCACTCTTATGTGAAAACGGTGCAAAGTGATTCGCCAGTGCTTCTACACCTCCCGCTGCATCCGTTGCACTCCATAAAGATTTATACGAGTCCCAAACGTCCTGTGTGCATGTCTTGCTTTCAACTTGCAGTCTGTTTACTGCGATACGGAGGGAATCTGCTGAAATATGACTGGAAAGGAGGATGAGACCAAGGAGAGTTTCGAGGAGAGACACACGGGTCTCGGTGTAGCGCAGGTATCCAGAAGGCGGGCCCCGTCTTCTGGGTTCTCGAGAATACGAACATTCCACTTTTGTCTCGGTGCAAAAGTAGCATGGTTCCAGGCCGTCGCACTAGAAAATAAAAAATTAATCCCATCAATCATAAAGCATTTTTGAAACTGAATTGAACAAAACCTTTTTCCGTTTCAGACGACAGGTGTTGCAAGCTGCACTGGTTATTACTCCTAGTTTGCGGAACAAGATAAGATACACGCTCACCTCGAGATACCTTCTTGTTCGTCTTGCCCTCGGTCGGATTCATCTTACCCCGCACGATTTTCTCCAGAAAGCGCCAGGGCACAGGAGGAACCAGGATTTTCCACCACGTGCCGTCATTCCCAGGGCCCGGAATTATAATCATCCTCCTTATGGTCCTCAGCGATGTGACGTCCAAACGAATTGTGGTCCCTGTCGATTAGTGGTTAAATCATCACGTTGTGGTATCCCGAAACTGTCCTACCGTGAAGCCGGGAGCTCGAATCTCCCCAGGGACATCTATGACTTTCAGCCCTTGGTTTTCAATCATTCCTTGTTCTATCCAAGATCACCTTCCTAAAGAAGGGTGCTTGTTACTTTTTGGAACTTCTGAGTTCCACTGACGTAACTGTATGCCATTAATGCCTGCCTCAACAGAAAGAGTACGAATGAGTAATTGTTAGCCATGCAGAGAATTTGCAGGCTGTGCCCAAATACAACAATCTAAAGCTCATGAAGTCGATTTCATCAACGTCCCTGTCGATTAGTGGTTAAATCATCACGTTGTGGTGATATCAGATCGCGTCCGTGAAGCCGGGAGCTCGAATCTCCCCAGGGACAGTTTCGGTAGATACATGACGTTTTTTTCGGTTATCTCAAACTATCTATCAGTTTACACAAATGCTTGCAGTACGAGAAAATCCAAAAACTTAGTGATATAAGGAAACTACTCTGACATTGATTTCGGGATTTTTTCGTCCATTTTCACCACATCAACACTTAACGACCGGAACCTGACCAGCCAGCTCTAAAGAGGCAGTTGCTATATGTAGCTCGATGAAGATAACAAGGTGCATTTGCAACGGGACATTTGGTAGCTCAGACGAAAAATCTACCTTGTAAAGCAGGTGGGGCTCTTGAAAATCCCGTTGTAGACGCGCCCTAATACAGACAGTATGTGTCAAAGCTCTGAATGATATCACTTTTCGGACGCTGGACACATTCACCTCACTCGAGGGTTGGGATTCCCAACATCATCCTATAACGCCGACTTGATGTCGGTATCCGTAAACCTCATCAAATTGTCCCATGCTAACTTGGTGTCGTTGTACTTTAGTAGTTGTTTGATTGACAATGCTATACTCGAATTTTCTTGCTAAAGATCTGTTAAAGTAAGCAGTTCCTGAGTGAACACCCCTGTGCGCCATCGTCCAGTAGAAGTGGTCGGGAATCTTTCAGATGATCCTAGCATCGAATGGGGTAGTTTGCAAGTAATTGATTATTTGCCAGTAACGATCGAGTCTGATTTTAAGTTACTACATCAACTCTTTGGATTTAGCGCTAGGGCTATATCCTATTACAACGTCCGAGTTCACCATCATTGGGCTTACATGTGTTTTGGCCGAGGCTCGGGTTCGAATTTTCCGAACGATCAATCATCGGCAGCGTCTAATGTTTGAGATGGCAAAATGTCTGTGGCCATACCGCGGGCTGTCCGGTGAATAGTCACCGTAGACTTAGTTTTCTGAGTACATACACCTATTTCAACTTCCCAAAGTCCAACCCCTCACCTCTAGAATTTTTCAATGACCAGCGTTCATCTCAAAATCTATTCATTCTGCGCTACTATCCACGTCGTCAGATTCAATGTCCTTTTTACCACCTTTCCTTTCAAATCGCTTACAGTCGATCACAGACTCATATACTAAACTCGAGTATAGCTGTGGCCACGGCAGGCTCCCAGCTTTCTTATATTTATGACGCAGCCTTCTCCACGGCCTGGATATGAGCGCAGTATATGTGGGTTGTCCTGTGTCAGTGATACATTTGCATCTCCAAGTGGCAAGTATTATATATTTCTCAAGCCGTCACTGAGGCATAGAATACTACAAAACACCCTCAGTCTTCTATTGATCCAATCATCTGATCCTGATCACTGCTATTTATTTTTTTGATTGAGCGCACAACCCCATTGTAAACGTTGGCTTAGTACAACGGCTAAACATGTGGCCGACTCGACTTTATACATATATAAGAACTGTCGGACATTGTCGAGATGCGGTCTGGTGCCAATTTTCTGACCCGGGTCCAACACCATCATCGTGAGTTATGTTGTTTGTACGCTCCTTGCGGTCCTCAGTATTTAGGCTAGTGGACACACTGTACGTGCTACGTACGCTACAATACAGGCAAGTGTTTGTTACACTGTCCCAGATGTACACAGGTTTGGGGGAATTTAAGCTCAAGCATTTGTCTAGCAGGGCTTGTCTCCTACCGGAAATCATCTATTTAGCCTGTCCTGTCGTTTCTACATCGACTTGTACCTCAAGTCAGCATAATATTCAATGCAACCATCTTTAGACAACACATCCGGAGCAACATTCATCGGATACAGTCTTGCAACAGTGTAAGTCTCCTGTTTGGTTTTATCCATTCGTTGGTCTTTACGACAATTGAAAGATTATATGGCATCGGATGCCTTCAAACATTCGTATACATGACCTCGAAGCGAGCCAGGCAAGATGAATCATGGCTCAGCTGGTTTACAGCTCTAAATTTGTAAGTTTCATACATGACCGCTTAATCTTATTCTGGTCATGGACTCAAATCACTCGCACAGCGTAATATGATTTCCTAGGTCTGCGCTGGTGTGAGGTATCTGATTCACTATATTTTGTATCGCAGCTCTTGGAAACCGCTAGTCATGTATTCTTTGCCGTGCTGATGTACTACGGCCTAATAAGGAGTCAGGGAACTGATGCCCAAAAAGCTGAAGCAGTTTTCATGGCTCAGAAGTATGTTATCTTCTGTTCTTGTTTGGTACATCTATTGATATTCTTGCTGTAGATTTATGTCTGTCAGTCTGTATGATACTGTTCATTACAAGAGCTTGATATTTTTATGTTTAGGCTGCGATTGGCACTGCGGTATGGCATCGTTCTCCCATTCGCCATTTTTATTGAAAATTTTCAGGCATTTCTTATCCTATTTATTCAATTGTGGGTTCTCTTTGAATGTAGGAAATTTTCTTGGCTAACTATTTAGTAGGTTTTTCTGCTGGCGTGTATGGATACTCACAAGGCTTATGCTGGCCAAGCGATATAGAGTTGCACTTATGCTACTGATGGTAATCTCCTCCTTTCAGGAAATTGATTTCTCATCATGATCGAGTCTCTAGGGTTCTCTGGCAATACTTGGTGTTGTCTCTGCAATCAGTGAGCAATATTTGTAGAAAAATTACCTTGAAATTTGATAAATAAATTTCACAGCTGAAACCTTCTATCTCAAAGAGCTTGCATTTTCAAATGCAAATAGGAAAATGATTGTAATGTAGTCAGTCTTTCTGATCTCCAGCTTGCTAACTCCTTACTTCAAGGTGTTCTTTGAAATCCAGAATTCTAGTGCCAGTGCCTTGGACACAATTCTTGCAATTGCAATGAGTATGAAGCTGTTCTGAAGATGAAGTCAAAACTCACTTGAATTTACTTTAGCACTTTGTTTACTCAACTCCAAATCGGGCGTACGAAGGTAGCGTTTCTTTTCGAACAATAAGATGCCCTCTGATTAACAATCTCTAGAACCGACCATGTGATCAATCTTCTTGTTTTCTTTACAATGAACACAAACTTGTTGACGGCGTAAGTACTTTCAGTCAAGAGACATTTACTTTGAGGTTGACTTGGAGTTCAGGATATTTCAATGGATTGAGTTGATTTTGGTACATCTATGAATATGTCGTTCAAAAAAGACTTCAAATTGACTTGTAAAAATTTATGCAGGCTTTAACACTTTCGCAAACTCAAATATACTCAATATTTGCACTGATGGTCCCAAAGCGTAAGTCTGAGTTGAATATCTTTGAATTTTGGAGTGGTGCTGAATATTTTCTGGTGGCAGTTTATTTCAATTCTTTTCTTGCAACGTGAGTGTCTAATGATTTTCACGACGCTTGCTATCAACACTTCCTTTCAGTTTAAACTCAAGAGATTTTATGCAAAGCAAGCTCCATGAAAGTGGTTCAAATCAATCCGTTTCGATTTCTGGAATGAGATTTGGTCCGGACCATTTGATTGATGGAAGAACCGATAGTTCCGGGACTGCTGATTTCGAACATGAGTTGGCAAGTCAAACTAGTGATAGAGATTTCTGATCTGATCATTATCTTTGCATAGATAAATAAGAGCATCAGTGATGGTCATGAAATTGAAATGGGTGGGCGAAAGTACAGATAACTCCCTCATAACGCATACCCCCTATAGGGCATACTCCCTCATAGTGCATACCTTTTTGGTACGACCGAAGTGCCTTCTCTTACTACAAGTCCTCCCTCATAACGCATACTCCCTCATAGGGCATACCTTTTCAGCTCCACGGAGGGGTATGCGTTATGAGGGAGTCATCTGTAGTTTGAATACTTAGCTCAGTTCCAGGTTCCCTAATACGGTTGTCATGTAATAGAAAAACAGGCTTAGTATCAGGATTGAATTGCTGGTGTCATGCTTTGATGCGCAGTCGGCAGACCAGGGTAAAATGATGGTTTCTCCGAGTATAAAAGGCTACTTGAATCTTCGAAGTTCTTTTTTGATCATTTTCCTCTCAACGCCGCTCTATTGAAGCAGAATGCTAGAACCGACTTTGGACAATACCACGGGAGCTTTGTTTATTGGATACAGTATCGGGACTGTGTATGTATTACCTTTGCAGACTATAACATTACCTCATTCTTTGAAGCCTCTATGGAATCGGATGCCTTCAAATGTTTATATATATGACCTCGGAACGTGCCAAGGAAGATGGTTTCTCATTTAAATTATACTTGGGATGTGTTTGGTAGGCTGAATCTATGATGCTTTCTTACCTTAAGAGTTCAACAACTGCATGCTCAGTGTTAGTACTATTATCATGGATGTTTATATTTCAAGCATGACATTGAATGAATTGTTTCTCAGATTATTGAAACGGCCAACCAGATAGTTTTTGCTGCAATGATGTACTTTGATTTGATCAAGACTCAGGGAAACAATCCTACAGAAGCTGCCAACATGATTCAAATGTGTGTACTTTGCTTCTGTATTATCTTTTTGCCTGATAAGCATGCAGATTAACCTCAGTAAGAATTTCCTTATACTGATCTTAAGGGTTGTTAAAAACAAACCTGTCTCTAGGTTGCGATTGCTACTGCAGTAAGTATACAATGTTTGTATGAATTTTATTTGAGTTCACTCTGCACTTGCAACAGGGTGGCCTTGTATTCCTTGTTCAAATGTAAGGCTTATTTTCATGCTCATTAAGTTATATATGCCACTGCAAAAACAGTATGTGTTTATTCTGACTACCTGAATAGCTTTTTTTGTTGGCGCGTTTATAGACTCTCAGTGATTACTCTGGGGAAAAAATACAGAGTCACCCTTTTAATCCTCATGGCAGGTGTACATTTTAAACATTGATTCAGTATAATATTTTACCCTTTATAGATTCTCCTTGCTGTCTTTGGCATTGTCTCTGCAATTTGTGAGTAATTTTGATTTTGGATGGTTGCAGTAGGATATAAGAGACTTCTTTATTGCCAACATGTGCAGGTGTTGCAGGGTTTTTCAATGCCCTTTCCCTTCAATCAGCAA